CAGTTGTCATCATTGTTTAGCTGGCCCAGGCTGGCAGCCTTGGTGTATGTGGCTGGTGCCATAACCACTGTGCTAAGGGTGCCAAGCCTCGGGGATGTTTTTGTTCAATTTTTTAAAGAAACTGCTAAGTTGTTTCTCAAAGTGGTTGTGACATTTTATATTCCTACTAGCAATGTATGTGGGTTCTGATTTTCCCACATCTTCACCACTACCTGCTACCGTCTATCATTTTGATTGAGGTCATTCCGGTGGTTGTGATGTGCTATTAGTCCTGTGCATCACACAAGTGGAAATGTCCAAAGAAGAAGGTGGGCACAGGGGCCTAACCTGAGGGTGGAGAACTGGGCTACAGATATGCATCAAAGAATAGCTCACTTAGTCAGTCAACCAAGAACAATTTCCTTAGCTCCTGCTGTGTGTGCTAAGCACTGTTCTAGGTTCTGAAGTTGTAGCTGTGAAAAATACGGACTTTTGTTTTTTGAGACAGAGTCTCACTTTGTTGCCCTTGGTAGAGTGCTGTGGTGTCACAGCTCACAGCAACCTCAAACTCGTGAGCTCAAGTGATTTTCTTGCCTCAGCCTCCCAAGTAGCTGGGACTGCAGGTGCCTGCCACAACACCCACCTGTTTTTAAAGATGAGGTCTCACTGTGGCTCAGGCTGGTTTTGAACCTATGAGCTCAGGCAATCCACCTGCCTTGGCTTCCCAAGTGCTAGGATTACAGGCATGAGCCACTGAGCCTGGCCAAAATATAGACATTTTGGTGACAGTCTATGGAGCTGAAAATCTAGTGAAAAACTCCAATCATGAAAAAATGAAAGTGCAATATAATATCATAAGGTGATAAGCATTGTTATAAAAAAGTAAAGGTAAGAGGCAGAGAGTGGTTGGGAGTTTTTTAGATGAGGTGATCAGGGAAGGTCTTTCAGGTAAGATGGGCAGGGTCCTGGTCAGATGTGATGGCTCACACCTGTAATCCTAGCACTCTGGGAGGCCAAGGTGGGTGGATTGCTTGAACTCATGAGTTGGAGATTAACCTGAGAAAGAGTGAGAACTCATCTCTACTAAAAATAGAAAAATTAGCCAGGTGTTGTGGAGGCACTACTCAGGAGGCTGAGGCAAGAGGATTGCCTGAGCCCAAGAGTTTGAGGTTGCTGTGAGCTATGACACCATGGCACTCTACCCAGGACGACAGAGACTTTGTCTCAAAAAAAAAAGAGAAGGTAGGCGGCGCCTGTGGCTCAAAGGAGTAGGGCACTGGCCCCATAAGCTGGAGGTGGCAGGTTTAAACCCAGCCCCAGCCAAAAACTGCTTTTAGAAAAAGATGGCCAGGGTCCAGTCAAGGAAACAAGCTGTTATAGGTGTTTCTGAGAGAGGGAATTTAATATAGGGAATTGGTTAAGTGGGAGATGGAAGAGTTGAGAAGCCAAAGCTCTTGGAGGGACTCAACAAAGGAGTAATGCGATGTTTGGGATCTAGGCTGGGACCTGGCACCATGGAGGGAGTGAAGCCACTGTCAGAAAACACCCTCTACCCCAAGCAGAAAGGGGAGATAAACCAGGCTTCTCCTTTCCTCCCCACCCTCCAATCTCCCTCTAGTGCTTCTCCTTGGATAAATCTAACAGGAAACAGGTGAGCAATGGAGCCTGGGAAATGTAGTTTTCTGTGGGAAGGGCAGGGCAGGGCTCTGATGTGTACAATGACAAAGCAGAGATACAAATTAAGTAAAAGAACAAACCGTGTGGGCTCAGCGCCTGTGGCTCAAGCCGCTAGGGCGCCAGCCACATATACCTAAGGTGGCGGGTTTGAATCCCCAGTCCGAGCCCGCCAAACAACAATGATGACTGCAACCAAAAAATGGCCGGGCGTTGTGGCGGGCACCTGTAGTCCCAGCTACTTGGGAGGCTGAGGCAGGAGACTCGGATTCAGGAGTTGGAGGTTGCTGTGAGCTATGATGTCATGGCACTCTACCCAGGGGGATAACTTGTGGCTCCATCTAAAAATAAAAAAAAAGAACAAACCGTGTGGGCAGCTTTGGTAACAGTGTTGTGGGTAGCAGGAACAGCAAGTGCAAAGGTCCTGAGGTAGGTGTGTGCCAGATGGAACCAATGCCTTGAGAGTGAGTGTGATGGTCCAAGCACACGATGCAGAACAAGGGACAGGGAATCTAGGACAAAGCCCTGGGAGATACATTTAGGGAGTAGGCAGCAGATAGTGACCCTGGCAGTCAGAGAAGTTGGGGTAGAACTAGGAAATGATAAGGTGTCTCTGAAATCCAGGGAGAAATGACTTTCAAGAAGGGCATGCTCTGTGGAGACTAACAGTAGGAATGGCTAAATGAGGACAAGCATGCGGCAGTGAGACTGGCAAAGTGGAAGGTCAAATGTGAATGTAAGACCACTCCTTGGAGTGAAGACCACTCATTGGCTGTGCAGAGTGAGGGCAGTTTTCCATAGTACCAGCATTGACAAGGGCAAGAAATATCATTGGGTTCCAAATTGTCTAAACCAGAAGGCCTGGAATCCAGTAGTCTTAGGGGTCTGAAATTAAACAGACCTGGGTTAAAATCCTGGGCCCCTATTTAGCTGCTGGGTCATCCTGAGCTGAGGTCCCTTCTACTAAGTCCACTTGCCTCACCTGTAAATATCAGAGCTGCATTCTGTTCATGATGGGAGGTTGCAGTAAGTGCTTAACAAGTATGTTTGCAAAATGCCCAGCACTCATAAATGGAAGCTTTACCTCAAGTAGGCAAGAACCCATCTTATTTTGGGCGGGATAATTTATCAGTTGTGAATAATAATGACAATGGCAGCTACTATTTATGAAATACTTACCATGCCTCAGACACTGTAAAGTGTTTTACAAGCACCATCACCCCCCACTCTGTCCTTGGCTCTCATTCCCTTCCTATATTACATTGGCCTCCTCGTGTCTCCTGATCCTTCCTGCCTCAGGGCCTGTGCACTTGTTGTTCCCTTACCTGGAACCCTTCTCCAGAATATACACATGTTCTCTCCTTCACCTTTTTTTAGGTTTCTGCTTAAATGTCCCCTTCCCTAACCACCCTATTTAAAGTTCACACCCTCCTTCCTCCAAATAGACTATGTATTTTATTTTTCCCCACCTGTTTCTTGTTTGTCTCACCCCGTGGAAGATTCAGCTTCAGGCAGGCAGGCAATTCTGGTTTGTAGTTCACGGTGCCTGGGACATAGTAGACGCTTAATAAATCATTCGATTCTCAGGCTACCTGAGCCCCTTTACACGACGTATTAGGTCCCCACTTTGCAGATGCGGAAGCAAAGTCATTGCTGGAGTTCACATATGGGCAGAACCTGCAGTTTGGTTTGCCCAACTCAGAAGAAAAGACGACT